CGAAAAATTTGCTGGGTATATTATTGGGATCAACATTTTTTACAAAATTATTCGATAGCGAGATAAATGCTTTTCGCGAAAGATTCGGACAGCAATTCAAAGGATATGAGGTGAGAATATTTCTTTCGCCTGTCAACATTGTCTTTAAGCGCGTAACATTATCTCTTATATTTGGAGAGGAAATCTCTTGAAGCTATTTGAAGCTATAAAATCCTTGCACTAAGCTGCTTGACTTTACGTATTGAACATATCTCCTGAGCACAGTGGTGGTCTCGAGAAATGCTCGGGTATAGTGCTTTGAAAAAAATTTTGCAAAAGGGGGCAGCCTGGGCGGAGCCGTACCAACCCCTTTTGTCTATCCAGATTTCTTCAAATTATTTGATGTAAGAAGTCTTAAATTATAATTCGATAACTAACAGTGGAAACATCACTTTCTTGTCTTGAGTTACATCATTTTTAAGATTTTGAAATGCATTTTCGCAGGGAGGAGGATGGAGAGGGGGGTGGAGAGTGTTGTCCGAAGGTTCGAATTTTCCTGTAACCGAAGATAAGAGAATTTTGTACTCGAGTCGCATGCAGAAAGCACATGTCCTTTTTCATTTCGCTGAAAGCGGATAACGTGGCTCCGCAGGCCTGCGAGTTAAGAGAAGAGTAAGAGAGCAGAAAGGTAAGACAGAGTGAAAGACTCTCCAAATAAGTATTGTTACTGCAAGGTACTACCATTGTAGAAAAAAATAGAATTGAATATAAGCCTTTTTGCTGTATTCGAAACGTTCGGTTTAATACCTTTACACACACCATGCATCTGCCTCTAACCCGTGTGTTCTGAGAGCTTATTTAGAATACTGAAAATACAAGCGAGGATAGTGCTTGTATGCACCGAAGACAGTCAAACTCCCATCCTCTCGATGAAAAACTTGCTCAAAAGCCGACTGCTGTATAATTTGTTCTAGCTAAGAAGCTCCTCTTGTTTAAAAAATGGCATCAGAAGGTCCAGCTGCATTTCTCAATCTTTCAGGATTCCTAATATTCCCTTCTAATTTTTGGATGAAAAAATGTTCAAACCCAGTCAATAATAATGAGAACTGCACCCTTGCTTTAATGGAAGCATAAAAAAAGGTTTTGCCATCGTCTTTTATTATAGATGCACCAAACGTTCGATTTCATGAGACGTTGTAAAGCTGTTTGAATGCATATTGTTGACTACACAACGAAACGCGAGATCCACCAATGCTGTACCAACTTTCTCTAAAAGCTACGCTTCTAATCCTTCAACGCAGCAAAACTCCACCCACCCGCAATGTAGGATTGATTCCTGATAGTTTGATGAAAGCATTGCCTTTTGCCGTGCATCACTCATACACTTCCTTCCCTCTTCTCTCCAACTTCCTCTCTTCCTACTTTACACCTTCCCCCTGCCTCCCTTACCTTCATTTCCTTCAGTGATTCTCCATTCTACCTATTCATTTCTTGTTACAGCAACTTATAACCGAAGCGTCATACCTGATGACAAATTCTAATCCGTACCTGGATTATCCTCGTCCAATGCTTCATAAAACCGTTCCAATTGGCGGTGTAGCTGTATCAATGGATGCCAAAAACAACAAACTTTCTAAGGTATTTCGCTGAAGCTCGCATTTACTGGAAGTTAACAACCCTACCATTTTTTTTAAAGGAATGGGACGCGATACTTAATGAACGTAACACCACTGTGCTAGTGTCCTTTGGGTCATTGGCGAAGGCTATCTACATGCCTAAGCAATACATGTAAGTTAGAAAACATTTATTGAATTGCTCTGAAAAGCTATTTATATTTAAAAGTCTTTACCTTTTTTAGGAATTCACTTTTGAAAGTTTTCGAAAGAATGTCTGACACAACATTTATAATGAAATATGAAGAAGAAGGCTCAAAAATCGCAGATCATCTTCCAAATGTTCATCTGAGCACATGGTTTCCTCAGAATGCTCTTCTTAGTAACCTTTTTGAGAGTCCGTTCTTATTCCTTCCTTCCAGCTAGTGCTTTTAGTGTTTAGATGATCATCGTCTCTCCACATTCATAACACATGGTGGTCTAGGGAGTACTACTGAACTAGCACATCAGGGAAAACCAGCTATTCTTGTGAGTCAGATTGAGAAGAGTGGATATCACTCAAAAACCTTTTGTATAGATTCCCTTATTTGGTGATCAACCAAGAAACGCTGAAATGCTTGCAAAACATGGTGGATGTATTGTTCTGAACAAATTCGATTTGGATAGCCCGGAAAAATTGGAGAAGGCACTACATACTATACTCACTGACACAAGGTTTTTATCCTCTTGCTAACTTGGACAAACTCTAGCGTTTTTTGTTACAGCTATGCTAGAAATGCTAAACGTCTCTCGAAGATGTTACTGAATCAGCCAATTAGCGCTAAGCAACTCCTTGTTCGTCATAGTGAATTTACGGCTGAGTAAGACTACTTTTATTTGCCCAAAAATCTTAAAGTTATGGAGATGATTTAGATTCGGACGTCTACCCAACCTGGATCCGTACAGCCGGCACTTATCGTTCATACAGTACTATCTGATTGATATAATACTACTAGCACTAGCCATTCTTATTGTTACGCTTGTTACCTTTTATCTCAGCTTAAAAAAACTCAGGAAATGTTGCTCTATAGCCATAAAAAACAAAAAAGAATAAATATTACCAAAAATGCATTTGAAGATTGTTCTCTTTGTTTTGACTGATGCATCTCATATTATATCAGAAAATACGCTCTCCATGATGCTCGATATTTCCGTCCTAGTGTCCTTATTAGTTTAAGTGCGTTCAAGAATTAGAGAAAGGTATTCAAAATTGTGATATTCAATGATCTTAACGTTGAGATAGGTACCGCACTAAATCTTGAGAAATTCATAAAACTAAATGCCGGCTCTTTGGTGCGTCTTTTGAAGTAGTTTGCTGGATAGTGAGAACTGCGATTGACGCAGTTGTTAACTTTCTGCGAGATTTCCATTCGAATTAGTGACGAAACGAAGTTAAAATCTCTAACTTGACTTAGAAATCAAAAACAAAAAAAGGCGGTTTTTCTTATTTCATTCACTCCAAAAAATCTGATGTTGCGCAGATGTCAGTTCAAATGTACGTTTTAAGACTTTCATGATATACGATGCCTACTTTAAAACTTCAAATAACGGAGAAAAGGGCACAAAAAATGCCCAATGGAAGACGTTTGCTCACGTAAAGAATGTGCAATTTTGACAGGAGGCATGGAACGACCAGAGCCGACGGGGCATATGGCTCTGGTGGGTTATCTCCGACCATATTCAACGAAACTCCAACATCCTTATATCATTATGCTCAAAATCGTATGGAAATTCCGATAACTGCGCAAATATAAGTTCCATTGTAACGATTTATTCTCTCTTTTTCTTGATTTTCACTACTCAAAGCTATTGGATGTATATACTTCTATAGTTCAATTCTCAGTTATAGTAACTATTACTCAACGATGCCTTTCGAAGTTTTTAAACAACTGCTTTGCAAGGAATAGTCCTAGGGCAAGTTCAGCAATTAGTCTTCACATTTGTGGCCTTTTCCTACTTTCCGAAAAATTACAACTTTTCATTTTCAAAGAAAAAATTCCTTATCAATCTTCTTAATTACGTAAAGTCATGTACTAAGAAAAAACTATTTCTTCCCTCTTATTACTTATTTCTCAATCTTCAATCATTTAGTGTGCATAAAAATCAAAGACAGTGTTCGGTCCTCGGACACTGAGTCACTCAGACTCTGTTAGGTGAGGGTCATACCCTCTCTTTGCTCATTAGT